TATATATATATATATATATATATATATGCATGACTTCTTTTAACTCCAATGACTTTATTGTAGCCAGATATATGATTTTGATCATTGAATATGATATTTATCACTTTGAAAACACACAACCAGATACGGTTCATAAAATATTAGTTGACATCATGTGGGTCAGTAGATTTACACTGACAAATCARATAAATGATGCGGAAGTTTAAAATGGGTTGTCAAAGGAAACTCGTATAAGATGCGTTGCATTCAAAAAATATTGGAGCAAAAAAATATATGACGTTGACATAACATGTTGATTTGTAATTTATGAAAAAGCTTCACATGATTCGTAATCATTCATTGGTGGATATTTTTTTCATACCTTAATGGTTTCATCTGAGGATTACCAATTATACAGGGCCCATGCGACTTTTATGTATCATTTAGACTTGTAAGACTGTAGCATGAATTGTAGAACTCAATTATGAATTACACGTATCTGTTTATTAGCATTAAATTGAAATATATATTCCCAGAACATAAAAAATGCTCAAGTTCAGTATTTGAATTTAAACATCAATAGCTAGGATTTGTTAAATGAGATATAAACAGTTTTAATGCTCATAGACCAGATTTGTTAGAGCTATCGTTGATTTTGTCATAAATGCAATATGGAGAACTTTAATCCAATATGAGTTGGAAAGAGGTCGAGCTAAACCAAAGAGTATTTGCCTTAGCAGTATCCTAGTCCTTGGCCTCCTAGGAGTTTATGGGTTCAAACCTCACCAAATGTGAGGAAGATGTGTGAGTTTATTTGTTACATTTATCGTATATAAATATTTTATGCTTCAAAAAAGAGGTCGAGTTAAGAGGGTTGTTGCAACAACGACAACAACAAAATGATACATGCTCGTAATTTTACGAGATGCTTTTTGGTTCTATGTCTTGAAATTACCAATTTACCCTTCATCTAACCATGTTAAAAAGACATGTTAGATTCATGATATTTTAGATGGTCTAGGTTTGGATCTTGCAATCTAATGATAGTATACCCATCCATGCAATTTTAGAAATAGTTCAGGGACTGATTTTGCAATTTTCTTTAATACCAATATGAATCAAAACAAAAGTATGTATACAAGCAAATTTACAAAAACGGTCCTTTAATTATATATCGACATGCACTCTTACTCCGTTTAAAAATTTTGTTGCGTTTTTCATTCAATTTCGATTATTTGGCAACAACGAAGGCTCAGGTTTTACTTGTTGATAAAAGCTGTATTTTTTGTATACAACAGTGCATTAAATATTCATGTACTTTCTTATACAATATTTGCGTAGTAATAATGATTATATGACGGAATATAGTATCATTCCAACCGCTCTAGCGCCACTTTAGGTATAAAATCAACCATGTCCTCGTCTTGTTACCCCGCCAAAGTGGGGAATCCCCGCCCCATTAGCACATGCAAAGTTTTATATTTAGTAAACATTTTAATGCTGGTTGAAATAGGTCGGGTTACACTAACCTGTAAACATTCTTTTGTTTGTTTCACAAATTTCGTAAACAACCAGTATTTTAGATGTAGTTATAATACATACTACTGTAACAATGATCCAACTCTGTTTGAATATGAATACGATGGTTTTTCAATTGTTTTACTCGTGTATATTTTAACAGGTATTTTAGTTTGACCTCTTATGAATAGAAATACCAAATTGATTCATTCACTCTCTCCCTGTGTGTGTGTGTCTCTCTCTCTCACACATGTGTATGTGTGTGTGCTTATATATATATATATATATATATATATATATATTATATGACTACATTGTAAAAAACCATAACTGAGTAAAATATCAGTTCACTGTTCGTTATGATATCATTTATTTAAGCAAAATCGAACTAAAAAAAATGGAATCATGCTAAATGTAAGGCACTAGAGCCCAAAACAACCTTACTCATTGGCGATGTAAGATTTACTTGGGGGTATTACAAACGCCCTTTTCAGGGGCTCATCTTGCTTGATAAGGTTTGCCTCATCATTCTGATTGTATAAGAATCGGCTCTGATACCATTCGTAACGTAACCTCCAAAACAACTTAAAATGATGGTGGMCAGCTCACAACTTTAAACTTAAAAGGAACATAAAAATCTAATATATTTATCAGCATGCAATAACTTATCATAGTAAACCATTCAATTAACTGTACTTTAAAATGACATAAACTATATGCAACATTTTCATTTATAAACTCTACAGATAAAACTCACTCGTCAGTTTTCGCTGCTATTCTTATTCTATAAATTATGACAAGCGTGTACTTTAAAAGGAAAAACACACGTCATAAATGCATACTCATATTGAAGCCCATAGTTTCATATTTACAGGGAATGTTAGGATCTGGTTACAGCTCGAAAAATTTAAACAGGACCAAATTCGATATCACAACTTTGAACCTGGTTTTGGTCAAACCATTTCAGTATGGATTCAAAACAAAAACAAATTATATATTTCTGGGTTTTTTTATTTCATTTTTAAATCAAAGATTCAAATCGAACTGAATCATAAAGTGAATTACATGTATATTATTTGTCAATGAAAAAAAAAACATATTTTACGAAAACTTATAGGTCGTTTATCAAACACTTTGCAACAAGAGTCGGCTGTCAAAATGGATTGATGGTAAGCGTTTATGGTCCGATAAACGCTTTACCATGCAAAATTTGTTTTTCCTCTTATTGAGTAAGTTTCTTCTTTTTGAGTACTTGTTATATTAATCCAATAAAATAATAAAATCAATAAATACTTAGGGGTTGTTTGTTTATCTCTTAATATCTTCATTAAGAGGTAGTATCTAATTGAATGATTTTGTATTACGGGTCTCCCTTAACCATTCAGCACCCTAATTCTATTGTAAACACTTATTAAAGAATTATATTTCATTTTACGCTATATCATAAAATCTTTTAATTATTTTAATCACTTAATCATTTTACATCAAATCATTCAACAACCGCCAATAAACTCATTTAACCAAATTCCAACAATTCGATAGGTTTACTGGGTTTTACGAAATTAAAATAAAAAACTAAAATCGAAGGTAAAATGGCATACGTGGCATTATGGGGTGGCAAGTTGCGGCCTCCCCATTGGATGACGAGCTTAAAAAAAAGCCCTTAAAAGCCGACGCGGCGGCTAAATTGTCCTACACTCAAACGACACACACACTCATTTTCCCCCAAATTCTCATACATAAAATCATGGAATTGGGGCAAAATTCATCAAATTGAGAGTGTTTGTTTGATCTATTGGACTTGTTTTTGGTGAAAATCCAACCATGTCAACGGAGGAGCCACCGTATTCCGCCTCCGCCATGTCACCGCTTGACAAACCACTTCATCAGCTCACTGAAGACGACATTTCTCAGCTCACCAGAGAAGACTGCCGGCGATATCTCAAACAAAAAGGTTTACATCGAGACGGTTGTTGTTTTCGTGTGTTTGAAGGTGGTTTTGATTTTCGCGATTAAGTTTGGATTTATTTTGACGATGACCGTACAGGGATGAGACGGCCGTCGTGGAACAAATCGCAGGCGATCCAGCAAGTAATTATGCTCAAGGCGTTACTTGAACCGGTACCTGATTCTGAAGACGGTGGCCGGAGGCCCTACATTACTTCCCGGCAACAACAAGCCCCAACCACTCGTGTACGTTTCACTTGAAATCATTATCTCCACTCGTTTCCCTAATTTTAAAAATAAAAACAATAGTGAATKCTAATATAATATTGTTAACAAAGTTACTGTCATGCTTATCTTTTATGCTTTTGTATATTATATTACTATTTGATCCGCGATTACTTTACTGTATTATCTGCTAACTTTGATTAATTATTTAAAACTATCAAATGTAGGTCCAGAAAGGAACAAGTGCGGATACGGAGATCTCTCTTTCAGCGGAAGAATCAGTACCTGGTCATCGCAATGATATGGAGAAGTCTGATTTTGTGGGTGATAATGATTCTGCTCCTACTGGGTAACTTCTCAATTCATTTTATTCACTATAAACTGTAATGATTATAGATTTTTCATGAATTGTGCCTAATTTGAGAACGAAGGCTTTTTCTCTTTTGTTCATTGTCTTTATAAATGGAGTTGGCTTAAGCTCAACATTATGACCTCCTTGGAAATGAGTTGCTTGTATGATCTGTATTGGCTCCTTTCATGCATATTGCATTTTGGTTGATGATGCATATGTGAATTTGGGTCTATTACAAACTTGGGGTATGGATTGGTACATGTACATTGGTAAAACTTGCATCCTTTTATACCTATTCATCAACGCTAATCAATGATGGAAAGGTCTTCTAGATAGTGAATCATTTGAGTTTATTCAATGTCTTATCTCCTTTATCATCTTTAAGAGACTGCAGGAATGTGGCTTTTAACTTTTTGCTTAGGGTATTCACTGCCTTTCATTTAGCTTCTTGTAGGTGATGAAAAAACGAAGCTTCATACTACAAGCTTTTACCTGACCTTAAACATGAACATATATGGTTCCTGCAAGTACTTTTGCCTCAACTCTTTTATCTCAAACTAGTTGAGATTAGGTTGGCTAGAACTGTTCAGCCACTTCTTACATTTTTAAGTTATGCTCTACAACTTTATAACTAATGGGTTATTTAGGACTTAATAGATAAGCCTCATATTTATGGTGCCCCTCTACAATACCAGCTTAGCATTGACATGCAAGTCTCATCAGTTGACATGGTAATGGCACTTCATTAGTTCATTATGGTGCCGTTCATAACGGAGGTAAAGGGCTCAACGTAAATCCTTGACATCATTGACAAAATGTCAAGATGATGGCTTGCAAGTTATGTTTCCAATTCCATATACATTATTTACTCATTTCTTTATATGTTATGCACAAACCTTTGTTCTCTCTATTTATTTCCAAAACTGTTTTTGGTACCCGATTATACCCACTGTATATTGATGAATCCCATCTGCACCTCCAATTTTCATATGCCCTTTCGATTCAACTATCTGGTTAATTAAGATAGTTTGTGGTCGATATCCCTATGAATTTTACAGACTTTTTGGGACACCAGTCTCTAGTCTTAGGCTTTGCTTTTACTTTCGGACTTCCAGCATTTCATGGTAAGCTTCATAGGTAGTATACCCTTGTAATTAGTGCATGGATATGTTTTATATATGGTAGTAAAGTAGGACATAAGTATTTATTAGGCATCTTCTTATATGGGGAGGTCGTTTTGTAGTTTGCATGGATTTGACAAATTTCATGAGCTGTTAGACCATGTTGGAAAACGTGCTATAAAACTAAAATTGTTTTTATCAATTGTGGTCTTTTCATCCGCAAAGAGTTATCCTATGCATGACCTCACTCCTTATTCCCGAATGTCTTGAAAATTTGWAATCCTTCCACCTCACTTAGAGAACAGTTATCCGTTGGACTAGCAATTCAGCAGTTCTTGAGCACTCTTCTGAGTCCTGTGTGCAGTAGGGTATACTAGATCTTGTCATATATCTCAAGACTCAAAGCCCCCAAACTGTACAACTCAGGGGATTGAAATGGGATCTTGTATATGGTATTATCGGAATAGATAGTTACTTATTTTCAGTTTTGCCATTAGTATTGATTTGGCCTAAATATTTTTAGCATTTCCTTTTTCTATTTGTCATATCCATGACTTTGGCAAGGATAAAGTTCCTCAGACATCAGCATTTTTTGAAAATCCATTAATACTAGTTTCCAACCAACTGCTCAAACTTGGCTTTTATAAATCTTCACTTAAGATTGACCTGTGAGATAAACAGGGCATGTTTGAAGTTTGAACAAGTTCGGAGTCTCTTAACAGGTAGTCTAATCTTTATCAACCCTATCAACACGCCCTGTATTTATGTAATGTATGTATTACTTACAAACCAAACAAGGCAAGCTTTCTAAACCCTACCAATTTAGTGTACAGTTAAAAAAATGAGAAATTGATTTACATCAAGTTTCTAGTCGGATCTTACTCTTTTAGATTGATATTGCATCTGAACGTTTAGGTCGATAGGCTCACTCAGTGGAGCACTAAACATTATAACTAATTACAAATGAATAATGAATGAAAAATGTTGACTTCATACCTTCATCCGGTGGCTTACTGAATTAAGAGATTTGCAAGATTTATAACATTAACTGCAAATTTTACCCAAGTTTCAAATTTGGTTGCTATAGTTGGTTCCTCGTTTTTCATTTCAGATTTCAATCGTATCTTAGTCAAAATGTGCAAAAATTATTTAGAAACAGTTATCAGAAATGATTACTTCTGAATATAGTCACAAGGGAAAATCCATCAGAAGTGATTGCTTATGGACTATAGATTTTGAATCTATTTCTACCTAATTGAAATATATGTTAAGTTTTGTGTGTACATGGCTGATCTGCTACCAATGTTATGTAGTCATTTCCATTCATTACACCTGACACTTCTATCTGATAGTTCAATGCTTATAATCGGTAATTTCCTCTACAAGTATTTGTAGGCTTGTAATCGGTGGTGAAACTAATTGTGCCTGTTAAATTGGTATTCCAATGGTATGCTTTTGGATAAATAGTTTACTAAATACATTATTGTCAATGATGGCCATGGATCAACTTCCTTATGCATGTGTATGGTGTAGATTCAGTTCAGTTGTCATTTACAATGTATGAAGTATGTAACTTAAAAAGCCTAAGAACATCGTGTGCATCAAACACATAATGCTAGATGAAGAAAATAATATGTTATACATGATATAGAGGATTGAACAGATGCACATAAAAATACAGGACCTAATAATTATGAATTGCAGCATCCATTTACCATTACTCATATGYTGGATATATGCAGGATTGATGGATACTTAATTAATGTAAAGGGAAAAACAATGGTCAAACTAAGACTTCAATATTAATGTGAATTCTAGATTACCAAGGCTGTCAAAATTTTCTTTCTTGTGGGACTAATTTCTCACTAGAGTATTTAAGTGGAGTTCATACTGAAATTTGATGGACTTGGGGGTTCAGAATCTTGTGACGGTCTGAGAAGAGAGTTCGATGTTTGTCAGAAAGCTTGTTTTCTTTTGCTCTGTCTTGAAGACTAACTTTTACCTGAATGCTCTAGGATTGGCGGTGTGACAGAAGAGGCAAAAGGACAGATGACGATATTTTATAGTGGCAAGGTGAATGTCTATGATGATGTACCAGCTGATAAGGTATACAACATATTTTATTCCAACTTCAGCTTCTAACACACTGATGTCACTAACTGAGCATTTTTAGGCACGGGCACTATTGCAGCTTGCTGCAAGCCCGCTCCAATTTCCTCAGGAAGCTCCATTTGATGGAAACATATTGCAAGCTCCAGGTATCAATGTAGGCACAGATTTCTCTGCCATGCTTTCGCCGATCTTGCAAACAGGTACCATTGGTGTTGTGTTGATCTCTCACTTTTAATGTGTCATGCTTTTAAATTCTGAAACCTTGAATCTTGAATTTTTCTAGGGATCGACTCATTCCCCATGAACTTCTGTAACTCACTTCATGCTAGTCAATTTACCACCAAGTGTATGCAATATTTCAATTGCAGAATGTGTGAACTTATTACTAATAATACTGAAAGAATAAGACTTTAACAAAAGGGATGATTGTCTTGGAGGCCAAAGAAGTGTTACTAAGCTCAGATAAGCCATAGTGGAGATAACAATCTCATTTAGGGCAGTCTACTCCAGCTCTGTTTGAAAAGACCTTGTTTTTGGCCAAATAATCCGGTTTGTAACTTATGACCCCCCCCCCCCCCCACAAAAAAAACTCTAGGTAAATTGACAACATCTCCCTTTGATACTTAAATAATTAATTTTTTGACTTTGAGTTGAATAGAGAGAATGCCTAAGGTATACTCCACCCCCTTCCCTCCTCTAGCTTCTAACAATGAAATTAAATCCAAACCTCATATTGAAAAAAATTCAAGATGTTTGACTGATTACCAAAGGAAAAGAAATTAGGCCAAATCCAGGTACTGATATGGAGCAATTTGGTCCATACAATTTGAGTGAAGGGATAAGTTAACTTCTAAGGATTTCCGTATTCAAAACAATTGCTTGTTTATTTAAAAAATACTTAGAGAAAATTTTGCCAGTTCGGAGATATGATCATGTTGGTGGGTTTAACAGGGTGCTTAGAGGCTGTATTGTTGGTCAGTTTTAACATAATTTATTTCTTAATTAGAAACTGATTAATAATGAAATGCTGTTTTAAGTAATTGAATAGAAGTGTTTATGGGTGGGTTGTACCTCGTGCATTATTCCTTGTACTCACATCAAATTGGGTATCATGGTCATTGAGGGAAAATGGTTAATCTACATTTATCTGGGGAAAAATAGGTTTTTTTGCAGGGGGGTTTACTGGCCAGCCGGTGCTTTTTGGCCAGAAAAGGTGTTTGAAATGGAATAAGTAGGTGTAATTGAAATTTGAACCCTTATACGACTTATTTGAGATGTTCTAATTCTCTTAAGACGTTCTAATTCTCTTATGGTACCCAAGACCATTATCCCATAATTTCACTTTGGCATATAGCTTATTTGACTGAGTAGTCACTCTGAGTTTTGGTGAATTGTTTTGGGGCATTCTAAATGGATTGTACAGAGATTGATCAGTGTGGAATACTCTGTACTGATGTAATATATATACTCTACAGTGAGATTGGCAGACAACTATCGACTGCACAAAGAAGAAAGCAACATGTTGCGTGAAGAGAACTCCGGTAAATATGCAAATCTTTTATCAGATTTCTTTCTTTGCCCTTTGTGCATCAGAATCGTAACATATTGCAATTTGGGGGGAAATCGGATTTGCAAATCTGTAGCATTTATGTGTTTTTCCTTTTCATAGTTTGATCCTAACCTTGTTGGTTGGTTTCTTGATATGTTAACTGAGAGGCTAACTCAATTGGCTCTTCTACCAAAATGTGGGATTTGTTCTTTACTCTGTTGACTACGTTTGCCAAATTCTTTTTTTAAAGTGTGTGTGTGTGTGTATGGGCAAATACTCACACACAGATCTCACCTTTGGTGAGGTTCGAACCCTTGACCTCCAAGGAGGTTGGGATTTACTGGTAATCCGGGCACCTTTGGGTCAAGGACCCTTTGGTAAGTTATTTATTGCTAATCGCAAGTGTTCATATGATCATATCCTTCTCAATCAGCAATCTCCTGTGTCGTGCTTTGCCTATAGAAGTAAATGGGAAAATGTAGTCCATCTCTTATCTTCCTATGTGAATATGATTCTTTTTAAGTATATAATATTTATATTTGGCAAAACTTACACACACTCCTCACCTTTGGTGAGGCTTGAACCCTTGACCTCCACGAAGGTTGGGTTATTGGGTACCATCGGGCTATTTGGTATGATTCTATCATCTTCCCGGCAACAAATCTTCGTTAAAGAGAAGCAATTAGGAATTCTTGTTATGATGGTCAATGATATTGTGGCTAAATAGAAAACTTGACAGATACTTTTTTTAAAGACAACATTGTGGAGCCAAAAATATGATGGGTATATTGTGAAAACTCTAAGATTTTTGCATGATTTGATTAGGATTGTGTTCTCCCTTTAATAAATTTCTCTTGTTCTCCACTTATATTTCAAAGTTGAAGGTTCGGCAAGCAGAAAAGCGTCAGTTCAGAGATATCTGGAGAAGCGGAAAGATAGGTATCTTCAACTTTACATGCGAAATTAGATTTAGTCATCATTTTGTTTGCTTTCTTTTCCTGCTTCTAACGTTCCTGTTAGGTGAAGGTTTAAGAGCAAGAGAAAAGCAGGAGCTCCAGCATGTGCTACCACCATTGATGTGTACTTAAACCATCAGATCGGGAACCATAACCTACATGAGCAGTCGAGTAGGAGTGCCACTTGCTCTCCACCTCCAGTTAGACCACCTAACACCCCTAACCGGTTTAGCTAAATTTGAGTGATGTATTGAAGAGTACAAGTCTCTCTGCCATCCTTGCTGACAAAAGGTAACATCGCTATCTTTTTGTGCATCCCTTTATTGCATTATAAATTCCACTGAGAAAATTTACATAAACCAAATCAAATAAGCCTGGTATATCCCACCATGAGGTGGGGTTTGGGAGAGGTAAAATGCACGTAAACCTGACCTCTACCTCAAGAGTAGAGCGTTGTTTCCGTGAAAACCCGCGGCTTACGAAAAGTGTGCGAAAGAGAGAAATGCATACAAGATAAGTTTTGAAAAGGTAGTTACGAGTAATCAATTCTTAGGGGCCATTTACCAAATGCTTACCTGGGTAAGCGCTCACCGGTAAGAGTCAGCACCCTAACTAACCTCATCGGGTAACATTTTTGGTCATCAAAATGGATTATTGGTAGGCATCTCTTACCCTGTAAGTGTAAACGTTAGTTGGGTATGAATCTTCTCCCTCACTTACTGGGTATAATTCTTGGTCCTTACTATGCCTCTTAGCAGGTAAGATTCTCGGTTCTTTGTATGCTCACCAGGCAAGGTAAGTGATCTACGCTTAGCGCTTACCCGGTAAGAGTTTGGTAAACGGCCCCTTAGTCTAACCTAAGGCTCTGGTTATATGATTGGATCATTGTTGTTCTCGAAACCCTTTTTAAGAAGGAAAGGAGGAGGGGAAAACAAAAAAAACCCATGTCCTCAAAATAATTTAGGAGGGAAAATAAATGATATGTTTTCTCCCAAATGTGGGAAGAAGGGGAATGGAAGAAATAATAACCCTTGGACAGTAAAATTACAAACCTACCTATCAATTTAACACCATCACAACAAATATAAAGGGTATATTTGTAAAAATGTCATCTTTCCTTTCCTTTCTCTCCGATTCAAGAACATGAAAAATTGTTTGCTTCTCATTCTTTCCGTTCTCTTCCCATTCCAGGAGCACCAAAAAAAACTTTCTTTATTTCCTTTATTTTCCTTTTCGGCCCCTTTCTTTCTTCCCAAATTCGAGAACGCAATGTATTTCTTTCTTCACATCTCGAAACTTAATATCCAACCTTCCCTGCTTCAATTGTAAATATGATCCTATCTTTATAATAGCATACGCCATGCCACTTCTTTCTGTGTCAATATTGCACATGTTGCCAATCAGTTGGATATATTACTGGCAACGTTCTTGAGAACCCCTCACGTATCTCCCAGGTCTATTATCATACTCCGTCCCAGAATAAATGTCCACAATGAAAAAAAGGCACACAATTCTAGAAATGTGTAATTATTACACTTTTAGTTGAGTAAATGACAATTATACCCTTAATAATAGAGGGAGTAATGAATTTCTTCATCTCATAATTAAGGGTAGAATTGGAAAGTGGACACTTGTTTAGGAGAAAATAGAAACATGGACACTTATTTTGGGACGGAAGGGGTATTTCTTTTCTAAACTAGTGCAGAATGTCTGTAGATCTTCCTCTCTTCCCATAATACCAACCATTAATCACCCTCCTATGGAAGAATTCTGAAAATTTGACACCGGGACGTCTGTTCTTAATCCATGATAAACATCCTTTCGTTGGTACGACTTCTATGATTAATCCTCTTTACCCCTACGGCGCCCCTTATATAGAAGAAAAAGAATGTCATTGAACTTCCATTTGAAACTTATTGCTGGGCAAGACCTCGTAAGCTTCCTTTGATAAAAGATATCTGATCTTATAATTACCATATTGTTGAACTGCAACCACTTAAGTTCTATGCCAAACTAGTTTATAGAAGGGTGCAAGCCAAAACAAAGATAAATATAGGTGAACTCCCTAGGTTACCAATTATAAACGCCATTGTTGGGGTAATGAGAACCGTACTTATTTTGAGAACATAAGAACCAATTATTTCATGAATTATTCATGATGAATGAGTATTATTCATGGGGCCAATTCAAATAAGAAGGGTAAATATCATGAGAAGGTAAGAAGGAAAGCTTCATACGTTGATCATTGAGAAAATCTATTTGAAGATGCATATGTGAACTGACGTTACATATTATTCATATAGGTTCACATATGCATCTTCAAATAGATTTTTTCAATCATTCCATATAAATTGTAAGATCCCATATCGATTGGGGCGGGGAACAAAGGTTGTCTTATAAGGGTGGATGCCCGAATACCTGCTCCATTAGGTGCATTCTAAAATCGTTAGTCCAGGTGTAGATAAAGCGAACAAGTAGCTCCCACTATTATTCATCATGAATATCAATGCATTTTCATTACCAATATTACATTCATCATGAATATCAATGCATTTTCATTATCGATATAATATTCATCATGAATATCTATGACGACATTTGTATAGGTAAGGATTGAGTGAAGCCGAGACCTTTAAAGATGACGAAAGGATGGCAGAAAGTGGATTAAAAGGTAAATATATTGGAGTTAAGAAATGGTAGGCAGTTAAGTAGAGAGTGGAGTTTGATGGTTTTGAAAATGTTAGGGTTTGTGTATGGCAATGGTTTTGTAAAAATGTTGGTTGGTGGTGGTTGTTTTAAGGCATTTCAGAGTTGTGAAGCAAAAGGTAAATATCTTTATTCTTTACAGCATTTCATGTTTTATACCCTCTATTGGCTCCAATTTAACTTCCTTTTTCACTGGTTTTCCATTAAGTCATGTATGGAAGGTGTGGATTAAATCCGTTTGCATAGATTGGAGAACTTTTTGTTTGGGAGGGTTTTTTAATGGATGGAAAGTGTTTTTTAATTGGGAGGAGTAAGTTTGAAGAAAACTTGGCTTTCTGTATAAAGCTTCTGCTAGAAACTTACTGAATAGGTTTCTTTTCTATATTTTTAAGTCATTACTGGATGGTTAAGTTGTGAGTAGTATTAAATTTATTAAGTTGTTAAACTTTATATAAAATAATAAAGAGTTAAAAAATAATTTATCTCTTCTTAATATTAAGTTCTAGAAAATTCTCTTAAGGTTGTTTGGTTTACATAATGGATTTTGATGAAATTGGAATCTATCAATGAATTTGACTTTGAAGAAATGAAATAGAATTTGACCACGCCTTTGGTTGGTAGGAATTGGAATCTATCAAATGAATTTGACTTTGAGGTTGTTTGGTTTACCCGATAAGTGCTTACTTATATGAGTCAACACTATAATTTACTTTGATACGTAAGATTTTAGTACATCAAAACGTATTGAATGCAACAATTTACCGGATAAGACTCTACATCTTTCTCATCGCTCTTACACGGTAAGATTTTTGACCCTTGTCATGTTCATTCGATGAAGAAATTTATCCAGTAAGCACTTGTCAAGCAAGCGTTTAGTAAACGGCCCCTAAAATCTTATCTAATAAGGTAAAGTGATAATATTGAATCTTACCAGTAAACGTTTAGCAAGCGATCAGAGTAAACCGCTATTAAGTAATTTAAATATATGAATTGGTTGAAATTGAGATGCCACGTGGACTGGTTGGTCCTTGGGTCATGCCTTAACAAGCGGAGTCTTTGTGGGAGGCAGAGTTTGAATTTGAAACATGAACATGAAACTCGACACCAACATTCAAAACTTAGATTAAATTTGAATTATTTTTTTAAATAATTAAATTATTTATATTGTATTACAAAGTATTTGACAAAAAAATTTAAAAACTATTTTTTATGCATTAACTACTGTTTATTGATGCATATTACTTAAAATTCAAGATTACAAGTAAATTGTGTATATGTACAACTTATTAAAGTTTCATGTTTGAATTCGTGTAACTAACCACAAATAAATATAACCAAATACTAGATATGTATCTTATTTTAAATATAAAAATCTAAAATATATTTATGATAATTATTATGTTTATAAAAAAACTATATTATTAAACCAAAAATAAATGATTTCATTGTTAAATTTAAATTAATTTATAATAAAAAATTGAATTAAAGAAATTACACAAAAAAACAAAAACTTTTAAATTAATTTGATACTAAAATCGGTATATTTTTAAAGAAAAGTTATTATACGTTCAAATTTATATTTTATTCAAAAAATAAAAACATAGTCGTTTTTTCAGTACCACATAAAATCGTATTATAACATCGGTGGAGACAGTATAAAACGAAACATTGAAATCAAGATTATTTCGCTGCATTATGCGAGTACCATTCTAGTAATTTATTAATACATATATACATACAATTTCTTAAAATTCTACATTTAAATTTGATAAAACAAACTAACAATTAACTAATAAGTGCATTCAAAGAAAATAAATAAACATCATATCTTACTGATAATCAACCGATTAATGATGAATTGTACTGATTTTTTTATTCTCAAGTTACAATAAAATTTTACATTTTACTGTATTATATGAGTCTACGTCTATAAGGACTTAATCCTAATTGTGAGAACTATTATCGTAGATTATTGTTCTACATAAATTACTTTTCATCTAAGGCTAGAATTCAATATATTAATTAACAATATACTTATTTCGCAATGTCTTTGTTTCATATGTATTCAGTTCACAATGTGAAACTTTTTAGTTGTATTTTTTGTTTCACAAACACATAAAAAATGTTCACACTATGGAACAAATATATGTGAGACAAACAATTTATAAAATAAATGTATGTTAATCAATATATTAAATCTAAGTCATAGTTACAAAAAAAAAAGATTATATGAAATAACACATGATACACTGGTTTTTAAGATTATTATCATTTTATAGACCATTATATGAAATAACACATATATATTATCATATATATATATATATATATATATAGGGGCCTAATCAAATGAGAACTGATTAGTTTGTGGTAACTGTAAGAACCAATGTGAGCCAATCATTTAAATAATTAATGTTATATCCTAAAATAACATAAAGGGTAAATTGGTAATGTTTATAAATCATAAAACCCTAACCCTCTTGTTCTTCCTTCTTTCATCGACTAACCCTCTTTTCCTATTGCTGCTTCTTCTTCTTCATCAAGCCGACCGACGATCTTCTTCATCAAGCCGGCCGACGATAACGCCGCCCTCTCACTCCCGCTGGAGATTGAACAAGGTATTGCTTTCATAACTTGTCATGTTGGATCCGATTCCATCAACACTAGAAGATAGAGGACCATTCATCACAGGGGCAGATCGGCTTCGCCTCCCTCCCGTGGAAACCCGGTCTAAGATGCGGCGACACAAACCTATTCGTCTTTGGCAACACCGACGAATCCTTACTCTGTATCAGAGGAAACGTCAGATGAGACAACGGTGGGGCCAACCCAGTTCGACCAAGTGGGCGGAGGGAAATAGAGTCCGATTCTACCGGAGGCTGATCTGGTGGTTGTGTAGCAGGAGGAGGAGATGGTTGCCGAGGAGAAACGATGGGTTTGGGAGATGGGCGACTCAAGACAAGCATGTTTCCACAGTGTAACATAGTGTATCACAGTGTATCACAATGTTCGGTTTCATTATTTTTGCTTGTTTTATCAAGGTGTATCACATGTTTTTATGGTTTAAGTTGGTATCACAATGGTATCACAGTATATCACAATGGGTATCACATTGTGTATCTTTGTGATTAATTTGTACATAACGGAATAATGTTGGCCGGAGATTGGAGGTCGGAGAGAGGAGGTCGGAGAGAGGAGAGATGAATTTTTTAAAAATACCTAAAATGCCCTCTAATTATAATTTTAACTTAAAATACCATAATTACTAATTTCCTTATTTATCCGTTGATTTGTGGTTAAGATTGGTTCTCACAGTTACCACAAACTAATCAGTTCTCTCTTGAATGGGCCCCTACATATATATATATATATATATATATATATATAGGGAAAGGTTCAAACGAGAACCCATGTGATTTGCGAAAACGCGAGAAAAACCTATAAACCTCATATTGTGATAACAATAAAAATTAAAAGATTTTTTAAATTAAAAATGAAATTAAAACAATTCAAAAAAAAATTGAGAGGCAAAAGGGTAATATTGGAATTCAAAGTGATAAATTTTTAAAAACACGATTACACCAAACCGAATAATCTGGATAACATAAGTGGCTATTATGGTTATCACTTATTTCAACACGATTTGGTGTGATAATCATGTGATTATCACACAATTATCACATTATCGCTTATATCAACACGATTTGGGTGTGATAATCATGTGATTATCACACAATTATCACAAGGATTCCGCTCGGCTAGGGTTAACTTAGAAAATCGATTACCGATTTAGTGTGATAATCATGTGATATCACTATCATAAAGTGCACTCGATTTCATCATGGTTTCGATCGGTTAGGGTTAGACAATCACACATTTATCACAACAATTACTCATGGTTTTGATAGATTATGATTAGACAATCACACATTTATCACAACGATTTGGAACGAAATCCACTAGACGACTTGGTGTAATATGAGTGTGATAATCATGTGATATCATTACTATAACATCACTTGCGCATTCAATTTGATCATGGTTTCGGTCGGTTAGGGTTAGACAATCACACATTTATCACAACGATTACTCATTGTTTCGGTAGGTTATGGTTACACTCGATTAATCATGGTTTCGATAGGTTATGGTTGCATAATCACACAATTATCACAAGGGAAGAGAAGAGAGCGGAAACGAACGTGATCAATCCAGGAAAAAAAAGGATAATTATAATTAATTAAAATAAAATAAAAATTGTAAAAATTATTTAATTACATTATTGTCCTTATTAATTTATTTATATTTAATATAAGTTAATTTATTAATTAAAAAAGTTTGAGGTTATTGGGTTGTTCTCGCATTCTCGTAAATCACATAAGTTCTCGTTTGAACCTCCACACACACACACACACACACATATATATATATATATATATATGTTAATTTCAATTAAATTGACTGATAAATGATCGATTTGCAGTGAACGGATGTGTGAAATAGTAATTTAACAAAAAGACTATTTATATGTTATAAAATGGTTATTGATTCATTGATATCTAGATCGTCGATAGAGCTCAACCTCCAATAACTTAAAGAGTTCAAACCCTACAAAAATAAGACGTGTGCATGAATATATATATATATATATATATATATATATATATGTATATATAGGTGGAGGTTCAAACGAGAACCCCTGTGATTTACGAAAATGCGAGAACAACTCAATAACCACAAATTTTTTTAATTAATAAATTAACTTTTATTATATATAAATAATTTAATAAGGGCAGTAATGTAATTAAGTAATTTTTATAATTTTTATTTTATTTTAATTAACCATGTTTATCTTCACGTTTCCACGTCTTCTTCTCCTTCATTAATCACGTCTACTTCTCCTTCATTCATGCGTCTCCAAATCACACCCATATCACACCAAATCGGTAGTCGGTTTTTTAAGTTAACCCTAGCCGAACGGAATCCTTGTGATAATTGTGTGATAATCACATGATTATCACACCCAAATCACACCAAATCATGTTGATATAAGCGATAATGTGATAATTGTATGATAATTACATGATTATCACACCCATATCACACCAAAATCGTGTGGATATAAGCGATAGTGTGATAATTGTGT